CTTTTGTGATGTTATGTTTTCCTTTAATTTGTTTAAAATATTACTTGACCCTAGGTGTTTCCATCAATCTGTATGTACAGACCCATTCTCCAAGCCAGCTAGCACCTCAGGATCCTATATGTCACTTAGCTAGTTGTTGCCAAGTATTTCCTTTCTGAAAACACCTGAATTATTAGATTTTCCTTACAGATTCACCTAAGAACAATTTTTCTTAAGACAAACCAAAAGCTGCAACTTGAAGCTCAGAGGATGCACAGGTTTTGGTCTCCTGCAGGTGTTCCTAGGTGATATACACTATAGAGGTTTGTGGTTTGGGGTTTTATTTTTGGGTGTTCTTTATTTAGTGGGTAGGGTTCTTTTGTTGTCATTTGTGGTGGGCTTTTTTTTTTTTTTTTTGGTGAGGTGGCATGGGTAAAACTTTCCTACCTGCTGGATTTGAAGGTAAATTCCACTTTAACAACTGAGAAAGATGAACTTTAATACACAACATGTCAGACATAATTGTCACCAGAATTCTACCAGAATGGCAAATAGTTCTCTAGAGGCTATAATTAAACATTTAGATAAATGTGTTTTCATGTACTTAAGGTTATTACTTTCTTAAGACATCTCTGCATATTAAGTAGTATTTTCTGACTTTTACTTTATCCTGTCAATACAGACAATGTATGTGTGTGTGTATATATATATAATAGTTTGCAGGCAAGTATGACAAGCTCTACTTCCCTGCTTTCTGACCACCACCTGCCTAACAACCTGTAAGCAGTCTGCAGGATTTACTTGGCTGCTGTATGTTTTGGGGTTGTGAAGCTGTTTGTACTCAAGCAAGTAGGCTCTTGGCTATGTTTTCAATCTTGTTGTCTATATAAGTAACATATAGTCTTGAAAGTATCCTCAGGGTGTTTCATTAATATCCACTGTAAAAATACCCTAGGGTATTTTCCCATTGCTATTCAAGAAAAAAACACTAAATTAATACTGTTTAAAAATGACTGAGGAAAAACAATGATGAACCTCCATGTTCAGTGTTGCCAGTCCATCACTGACTATCTATTTTATGTGAGAGATGTCTGGTCAATGGCTTCCTGCATGCACAGTTGGGAATTTTCGTTTTCCTTTAAAATATGTTGTCTACTTCAAATGCTGATGGTAATTTTCAGCATATGGGGACCATTAGGAATATTGAAGCTGAATATAAGGCTTAACTCGTTAAATCACTTTAGAATGTCACATCTGTTTTTTTACCCTAGTGTTAACACCTGGATCAGTTTAACACCAGCACAGAAGTTTAGGACATATATAATTTTGAAAACATCTGGAACTTTTTTGTGTGCGTATGCATGTATATGTGCACATGTGAATGTATCTCTGGCATTTTTAGGTTTGATGAATAAAAGCTCAGTGAGTCGTGCTCAAGGTGTGTACTGACCTGTGGCAATTATGTGATTTATGGCAGGAGGCAGAAGCATTATTTCAAGGATTAGAAATGATGATTTTGTCTTTACAATTTTTTTCTTTCTTCAGCTTTCTGTTTCTGAAAAACTGATAACTGAATCTAATTCTTACCTTCCCCCTGCCCCCAGCATGTCCATTTGTTGTATACTGAATAAGATAGCCCATTCTCCAGGGATGTGTGAAATGGGCAGGCATTTCAAATTGAAGAAAGCAAGTTCCCTGCCTGAGTGTGCAGCCATGTTCAGAGGCTACTTGGAAGTAAAATGTCACTTGTGTTGGAATTTTGAGAAAAGACTTTCTCAGGTGACCTGCTGCCTTTTAGCGAGAGCAGAGTTTGCAGCTCTGGCAAAGAATGATGAGTTGCTTCTCTTATGCCCATTAGTGAAATTGGACTAATTTGTGGGACATAACCTCAAGGTAAACTGTAAGTGAAGCTGGAAGCAAGGCTAATACAGCGTTCTGTAATTTCCTTTATCCCAGAGTCTCTTCCAGAGCCAGCAATTAATTTAATTTTCTATCTGCAGAGAGTGAGGGTGGCTGTTAGTGCAGGAGGCTTTACTGGAGACAAGCTGGCACTGCTACCAGAGTGTGAGGAGGTGTTGGTTTCAGAATTTCTGCTGGAACTGGAGACTAAGCAGGGTAAATGGCTTGGTGATTCAGTAACTAGAGAAAAAACAGAGCCTTGCCACAGCCAGGAGCCAGGGCAGCCCAAGCCCTGGGCATTGGGCACTTCCCTAGGGACAAGGACAGGCTGGGATACAGGTACAGCTCAGCAAGACCCAAGTCAGGGCCTGGGGAGCTGAAGACTGGCCCTGCTGAGGTGTCCCTGGGGCAGGGGCTGATGGCCTTGGGAGACTCACATGGGGTCCTGGGCAGTATCAGGGAAAGCTTTGGAGACCTGACATGAGGTCCTGGGAATGTGGGCAGGGTATGGAACCTCGGGAAGGGGATCAGGCTGTCAAGGCTCATTAACGCCCTTGGAACCATATGGAAATCATACAGAAACAAATTCTAACTTTATTTAAAATTTTGATCAATAGAAAATACAGAATTTGATGTGACTAAACACTGAGTAAGGTGGAACTGTCAGCTTCTGCATTCTTCATGCAGATGGGCAGGTAAAGGAATCTGTAGCATTTACATGTGCAAGAAACTAGGAGTATTCTAGAACTGCATGCTGAAATCTGTACCCAAATACAGTTTGATCAATACTGTATCTTCAGGGCTTCCTTTTGATTTTTTTTGTTGTGTGCAGGACTTCTTTCGTTGTATATTTCTTTGTTTTAATTTTTAATATGGATAGGTCTAAATGGAAAAGGATCAAGGATGCATGAAATTTGTTGCTAAAGCTGTGAATAAGATTTGACTGAATTAATGCCTTTGGAATGTACACTAGGTTTCTTTATGATACAAACAGTTTACTTTTGGTGGGGATGAGTTCGATATGAGTGTCTGCTGCATGAAAACTATCACCTTAGAGAGAAGGCAAAATAAATACTAAAAGCTACCATTTCCTGGGAACAACCTGGGAACTGTCTGGGCTCTTTGTAGAAGAATGCTTTGCCTCGGGGGAGGGTGGTTGTGCTGGCAATGTTGTTGCCACTTACTTTTTTATTGTTTCCTCAAGAAAAAATACTTTTGCAGTTCAGGGTTTCAATTCTAAATCCTGACATCTGATAGCCATTCTTAGCCTTTGGGAGCCTGTTGTCTAGTATATTTTTCCTCAAGGAAAGGACTCTGTCTTGCCTGACACCTGCTTTATTTTTGCCAAATTCCTAGGTTTCTGTTAGTGGTTCTGAGAGTTATACTACAAATGGAAATCACAAACAGAGGAATTAGGTTTCAAGAAAGGACAACACAGAAGGACAAGATAAATAATGTGGAAACAACAATCTTGTTTTCCTCCAGTGTTCTTTTGTGACTCGCCTAAAATGAGAAAAATGTGTGTGGGGTTGGGAAAACAAATACAGGCAACCCGATACACTGCATAAGCAGAATTCAAAATGAAAATTTTAAAATATTCTAAAAAGCATCATCATATCTTTAAAGGATTTAAGCTGACCTCTCTATGACCTCTATGGGCTCAGAGATAAAAGGACATGCTGAGAGGAAGCATGTCTGAAAGCATTACAGCAGGATGCTCTGGACAATGGAAATGCTGAGCTGTGTGGTATTTGGAGTATTTGCATGGAGGTTCTGTGGTGCAGGATATCAATTTTGAGCATTTTTCATCCCAGAACAAGACAACATTCCTGAAATGAATACCACAAGAAAAAAAGGGGGGGGGGGGGGGGGGAATTTGCTCACAGGTTCTAAGGAAATGGAGAATGTGACAGGAGTATTGGAATATGAATTAGTCATGCATTTTAAATGTGGGCTTGAGTTTCACACCTTTTTTTCCCTTCCTCGTCTGAATTGAAAAATTATTAACTATATGAGGGTATTTATTGGTAAGGCAGATAGGGGTTTTGAAGAGAGAATGAGATAAAAATCATCTCTCTTGTTTGGTTTTTTGAATAGGAGAGTCTTGAGTTGGCTGGATTCTTAATTACCCTAATAAAATAAATGTTAAATGAGTTAAGCTCTGTAGTAACAACAATGCATCTTTAAATAATTGCTTAAATACAAGTAACTAATTAAATTCTAGTCATCTCTTTGCACTAAGCAGGTCTCACACCTTCTCCCACTGCATAAATTTAAATGCAAATCTTCGGATTTGTACGAACACTATGGGAGACAGATTTTTACAGTAACGAATTAAACTTGGAGACTGCTAATGGCTGGCATGAGTTCTTGCCAGTGTGGTTGTAAGCATAGATGCTGAAAGCTGCAGCATTTTTTTTTTTAATCAGGCTGACAGACTTGAGTTCATAAGCTAATACAATGTAAAATTTTTTTTTCCATCAATTGTAAATACAAGCAGTTTGAAAAGTGTATTTTCATATGTGAAATATTCTGCTGTCTGTCTTCAGCAAGGTGTTGCAGAAAATGTTGTAAGTCAAAATATGCATAAACAATTATACAAGGCCCTGTCCAGAAGCAGAAAATTGCTCACTCCTAACAACTTCTATATTTATTGTTTACCTATGTTAGCAAAATCCATTCCAAAATCTAAATTAAAATTTCGGTATAAAAGGACAGTTGGGGTTTTATTTCTGATATACTGGAAGATCCATTGTTTCAACAATAACGTTTGCAAGATTTTCATATTTCTTTTACATTTTAATTATAACTCATCAAATCTTAACTGATTACTCCTGGGTTAGACTCAGAAGAATGTCACTGAAGGGTGTTTTAATTTAACAGAAAGAGTGTAATGTCTGTTTCTAATGTTTTAAAAGCTGATTTATATGGAAATTTTGCTCTTGAAGGAAGTCAATAGATATGTAGTTTTTAACACCTCCTGTTAAAATTCAAAACTTGAATTGAAGCAGCACCAAAGCAATGTCATTTTTTTCATGTAGCAGTGTGATTGCATTTTCACAGCCTTTTCATTTGTAGCCATTTTCTAGTGTTAAAATGAAGTTTTTATTTGTCTTTTGTAGTCGAGCTATCAAGACAAACCAGGACCTTTTACCCGAGACGCCGTGGATCCATATCTTCTACAATGACTTTTGGGGGACACTGCTTACTCACAGTGGGAGCCACAAGTCCTACAGACCTCTCTGCACACTTTCCTTCCGCATTAACCATGCTGTTGGGGGAATGGACCCATGGGGCTACCACCTTGTAAATGTCCTCTTACATGCTGCAGTCACTGGCCTTTTCACAAACTTCTCCAGGATTCTCTTTGGCGATGGGTACTGGACCTTGATAGCGGGCCTGCTGTTTGCATCTCATCCCATCCACACGGAAGCCGTAGCAGGGATTGTAGGCAGGGCAGACATTGGAGCCTGCCTCTTCTTTCTGCTTTCCCTCATGTGTTACGTGAAGCACTGCTCTACCAGAGGCTCCTCACCAAGTACTTGGGGCTGGATCTTGGGAGCAGGGCTGTGTGCAGGATGCAGCATGCTGTGGAAGGAGCAAGGAGTGACTGTTCTGGCCATTTCAGCCGTGTACGATATCTTTGTGTTTCATCGACTGAAAATGCATCAGATCATTTCTGCTTTATACAAGGTGAGTCTCCTTTGCAGTAAGCTATTTGTGAGGCACCATTCACCGCTTAACAGGTGCTAAATGTCCTTTTGAGTACACAGTAATTCTTAGTAGTTTAGTTGACTCCCAGAAATAAGCTCAGATGTTTAATGCTGAAAGAACATTTCAAGAGCTTTAGTGTGGTCTTTTTACATTTTGTTTAAACAATGTGTTATTAGCCATTGCTATTACTCGATGCTGGGGATGGGTTTTTTCAATTACTTTCCTTACTTTCAATTACTTTCCTTACAGCTCCCTCATTCTGTTTGCTGTCAAGCACTGGATATCTGAGTCAAGCACTGGGTATCTGACTGCCTTTTGCAAAGAATTCATTCGTGCTCTTATCCTCTTGTATCTTGCAAACTCAGCTTAGTTTGGTCAGGCGTGCAAGTTCGGCAGCTGATATCATCAGCTTTGCTCCCTGAGGCAAAGATAAAACTCTTATTGTTCTAGTTTAACAGAGATGCATAGGACTTGGTGCATGCCTTTGACACGTATTTTTTTCTTCACCTAGTATTATTGCCTTAATAAAATAAGTATTTCCAATTTTTTAACTTCTTCCCCAGAACAAACAAGTAAAATAAGCAAACAAAAAAAGTCACCAAATCCCCTAGCTTCCCACTCAAAAAACTGTGTATTTTAGTGGTACCCAGAAACCCCAGTTAAAATCAAGAGTCCTTTACAGCATTTGCTGTGCAAATGAGTAAGCTGAGTATACATAATTTTCTTTTCAGTGAAATTACTGTCTTTCAGAAAAATACTATCTTGACAAAAGGACAATAGTGTTTCATTTGGACATGTGTTGTCAAATTTTTCAGTGAGATGTAGATTACAAAAATGTATTTTGTTTCATTGCTTTGCTTATCTCAAACACCTTGATTTGAAAATTTTGTTTTCTTTTCCAGATAAATTGAAAAAAATTGTAGTTTTTGATAAAGCTGTGATAATTTCTGTTTGTACAGACTACATAGCTGTAATATAAAAGGAAAGTAGTTAAAACACCTGGTCACTTGTAGTTTCCTTTTAAACTGCTCTAAGGTATTAACTTAGTTATTATGCTATTTTCTGAGAAATGGAAAAGAATAATTTTGTGTATATATACACACAAACTTGGGATTTTTTACTCATGTATAATGACATATGTAAGACTCTGAATGTCAGTAGCCAAATACTGTATGGTACATTGTGCATCTAACACTGAGCAGAAACCAAGAGGAAACTGATTAAGTTGTTCCATTTATTTTTTCCTTAATGTACATCTGCAGCAGCAGGCTTTATACTGAAAAGCACAAAGATGAGACTTTTTCAAGTGCTTCAAGGAGTTTAGTTCATAACTCAAGTGTTACCCTATCCTATGGAATTAAATAGTCATAAAAACATTCATATGACAGAAAATTCTGAACATCTATAAAGTTTTTCTTGTTAAACACTCATTGCTCAAATCCAAAATCTTTGCAGATGTTTCTGATGGACTTTTAATTGAGAAAAGCTTGTTCTCACCTTTTTCCTCCTTTTCCACACCAAGGCCAGAGTAAAATTGGTCCAGAAGAGACCAGAATGATGCAGGTGAAGCTTCCACATCCTAACTCTGAATGATGCAGGTGAAATCCAAGCTTCCACATCCTAACTTTTTGAACACAAGGTCTCTCTTCCTAGGTGTGGAACCCTAAATTTGGATGCCTGGCTTGAGGGTTTTTTTTGCACCCAGTATCAGAGTTGCCTTGGACAGAAAGCTGTTGTCTTTAAGAATTTATTTTGTCATGTATAATGCTAGAAATAGTAATTCTGAATTTTGTAGATTACAGACCTTTGTGTAGATTTGATTTTTGCTGGAGACAGTTTTATGGGGAGAGACTACATTGAATGAAAATATGAATATTTCTGTTATTACTAGGCTGCATGTTTCTTGCACACATGATCAGGCTGTGTGCTGCTCAGCCTGAAAAAATTAGAAAGAATTGTGTCCACGTGCCTGTTCTGGAATTTGTTCTTCATGTTTCCCTAGTGTAATATTGGGAGAAGGCAACTTCAGGAGAAAGGGAAAAAAAAAGACATCAAAAAAGTCAGTCAAGGAAAAAGTTGTAGTCTTTTGCAGTGTGATGGAGGGCAAAAGTGTAGAATGGAGCCAAGGAAGAAAAGAAAATAATTTAAAAGTTGGTTAGCTCAAGCCTGTACAACCTAAGTAAGCAGTAACTGAATGCTTTGTAATGGAACAGTAGAAAGGTTCCTATCCATTTCAGTCTGCCTAACCTTTAGCTCAGCCCTGTCCAGCTGAGCTGATATGGCTGTTTCCTAGGCCGTGCTGCAAACTGAACTGAGAGGAAATGCAGGAATGCAGGTAAAAAAAAATAACCTCTAAGCACCACACCCCTCACCCCAAATATCCTAGATACTTCTTTTAGGAGTTACTTTAAAGCTGGATCAGTTCAGTTATATTCAGTCCTTGTCATTGCCCTGCAAATAGCTGTACTGACTAGCAGTGAGAGGGAAGATGCAGCATGGGCACAGAAACAAGGGGTGGAGAGAGACAGATTTGGAGGAGGGGCTAGTTAAGGACCTGGGATTGTGTGATGCCAGACTATGGCTTTCAACTTTGAAAATATGACATTTTCTAGAATATACCACTGGGGAAACTGGGACACAATTATTTATGTGTAAGGAATAGTGAAACTACTGCCCATCTTCATGATGCTCAGTAAAGTATGAACTGGTACAAGCAATTTGAAGAATGCTCCAGCAGATGGTAGGATATGGTGTATTGTGTGACCAGCCTATTTTTTTTTTTTTCAGTGTGTTCTTATCTTTGGGCCAAATATTCTATGGTAAAAAATGATGGCTACTACACAAGCCAGTTATCATGTGCACCCTGATTTATCACATTGAGAACATGAAAACATCCCAGTGTAATTTGAGTAGACTGGCAGGGCTTCTAAACAAGGTAGCTGCAAAGCTGGACCAGCTGAGCAGATTAATGCTAACCCTTAATTAGAAGCTATTCTTGAGGCATCTTAAAAATTTATATTGTAGACACTTATTAAACAATCCAACTCTTTTCTCTGTCATCTGTGTATTGGTTATTTCAGTAGAACTTGGCTGCTGATTTTTTTCTGCTGCCAGGTCTTGTATTCCTGTCTGCCTGTGATGCTCTCACTCTGGCTGGAAAAGTTGTCAGTCTGGACTCCATTTCATTTGGTTAGCTCTGTTTTATTCTGATTGACTGACAAGAAGGTATTCACTGTCTTTGAGTCAGAAGATTTTGATGGAATTGTATTTATTGCAATCATAAATGAGTTGTCTGAAATGAGAGTAATTGAGAGTTGTTCTACTGGGGTGAAGCATTCATTGTGGAAGTAAGTTAAATTTTTTTTCATTTTTCAGGATTCTAGACCTTGAGTAATTTCCACTGTAAGTTGCACAGCAGGTATGCAGATTGATTGAGTTGTCAGGTGTGATAGGTATCAGAGATTGTACCTGTCAGCAGCTGGAGTTGTGCAAGTTAAACCACAGGACTGGGAGGGGGAGCTTAAATATGGGAGAGAACTGTGATCAAGTTTGTTATTACAGAAAATGTGCAAATCAAGAGGCTTAATTGTTTTGTACTTATAATATTCAGCTTGAGTGCAGAAGCATTAATCAACAGTCTTCTGTCCAATTAATAGTACAAAGCTAATACAAACCCTGTTGTGCTGCTCTTTTTTCGTCTTGTGGGTTTTTTAGATTTTCTTTTGTTTGCTTGGTTGTTTTGTTGGTTTTTTTAAAGCATGAGTGGATCCAAATAACATTAGCAGTTAAAAAGATGGGCAAATGCATTAAAAGCTCATTTTTAATATAATGGTAATGATAAAGTATTTATTGCTCTGTGGCTGATGTATACAAACTGCTGTACAGAAATAACTAAACCAGATGTAACTTCTACTAATGTTGCACTGCTAAAATACAGTAACATTTTACCAGATCAACATATTGTTAGTACGGGGAGTTTGTTATACCAAAATAAGGAAATGTATCTTTTCCCATCACATATTTGATTAAAATCTCCCTCCAGGAGGTCTGTCTCACATGTGGAATTAGTTATTGTTGTCTATAGCTTAACATGAACCACAAATTGGATTGAAGGATGCATTATCTAGCCTCCTGTGCTATTATAACAGTATTGGTTTTGTAAAAGGCAATTTTATTGGAGGCCTATATTTTATTTAAGGTAATGATGTAAACCTGGGGCCTCCTTGGATGACGTGGTCAACCACCAAACCATGTTTTATAAAACTCTGCTTTTTTTATGGCCTTGGAATGGTCTTAGTTGTGGATGATATGCTGCTGGGCATTAGATAAAGCTACTGATTTTTGAGAGCACTCTAAACTTCAAGTAGGCCACTTTCTGCATTCTTTAGTCTTTGAAGTTGCTACTTTTAGAACTATTGTGCTTTGAAAAGCAATGTCAAAACAAAATGCTGCTCTTGATTTGAATTTGCAGTTTTATTCTTCTCTTCTGAGGAGCTCTGAAGCCTTTGTAATGTAGTAGTCAGTGTTGCTTATTGCTCATCTCTTCTCCATTTGCAAGTTATGCTGTTTTGCAGTAATGTTTCATTGTTATTTAAAATCCGACTCAATGGTTTATTTTCTGCTCATTTTCCACCATCTAAGGAATTTATTATGCTGAACTTACCCAGAGGTCTTGATATTTTGGCACAAGTGATTGGAAACCTATTATTTTGTAAGTTATTTCTCTTTTGGGTGAGCATGGTCCAGTCTTGTCTCCATGTCTTTGAAGTATAGTATTTACAGTTTTTAGACTGTTAGGGCAGTAGCTACTCCCTTGCAGGACAGACTTCATCCTTGGACTCAGATATAGTAAATATGCTTTTCATAGAGACTGCTTTTATTCCAGTTAAAAATAATAAATAACTTACAGCTTCAAAACATGTCTTGACCTTTCACAGGGTTCATTTTACCTAACAAGAGTCACATATTCAAGTGCACTG